TTGGCCTATGTAAAGTTTGTATGATTTTCAATGTGGGTCAGTAGTGCGGAGGCGATTAGTGAGCATGACATCCTGTTTATTTGCCCTAATGTAAAAGCGATTTTGGGTGCGTCTAAGTTGTTTATCAGCTACATGGGTCAGAAGCAGGTTAGGTACAACAGCAAAAAGTTTGCCAGCACACTCACCAGCCAACATTCAAAAATAACCTGTCTAACCGCTAAGGTTAAAAACAGAGGTTTTAGGTACACGTCTTCCTCGTCAAGGCCCATAGTGCTGTCATAACACTAACCTATGATAGTCTCCATCTTGGAGCACATGTAGCAAAAGATAAAATTGGGTGCAGGTACGCCAGGAGGCAGCCCAACCTCCTTAAAGGCACAGGCATACACAAGGGACCCCGCACATCACAACGACAGCTGAGACCCCCAGTGTGCCACTGCACATGCAAAACAAATGGCAAACTCACTCATCGACTCATAACCAGCTTTCACGCAAGGTGCACATGGAAGGGCTTTATACAGTACAACAGCAAAAAGTTTCCCAGCACCCTGTTGTACTGTATAAAGCCCTTCCATGTGCACCTTGCGTGAAAGCTGGTTATGAGTCGATGAGTGAGTTTGCCATTTGTTTTGCATGTGCAGTGGCACACTGGGGGTCTCAGCTGTCGTTGTGATGTGCGGGGTCCCTTGTGTGTCCCTGTGCCTTTAAGGACATTAGATCTGGCTCTGCTATCAGCATCGTCTTTATCCTGGGTCTGTGAAGGCGTGGAGCTCAGTTCAGGCCGTTCTGAAGAATTCTGAGCCGCTGCTTGTGCCAGAGCTTCCTTGATCGATTTCCCTGGCTGAGGCTTTTGTTTCGTTTTTTCCATATACATTTTTATTGAAATTGCAAATACACTAGTATACTTTACAGAGTCAATAGAAAAATCCAGAAGTTAAAACAATCGTACAGAAAAAAACTTATATCACCTTCAATAGGTGAATGTAACAATGGAACACAAGAGTGGCAACAGTTAACAGCAATGTGTGCGTGACACATAGTAGCAGTTGTTGTGATTTCGCAACACAGTCATCGGAATGTGAAGTAAAGGCATAGTATGTGTTCACTAAGGCTGGGTTCACACCTGGGCGTACGGAATATGCGTGTTTGCAGCACGTTTCGTGCCACACGTTTTTACAGCGATTTGCGGTAAAAGAAACGCGCGACAAACGCCCAGGTGGGAACCATGCCCATAGGCAATTATTGGTTTTCACATGTTGAGCATTTTACAGCGCGTAGTAATAGAAAAATGTCACCACCACACCATAAGTTGAAAAAGCAAAATATTTTATTGCCAATAGCTGTATCTCATTGTTTTTTTAGATGTTGCCTTTTTAGATGTTCCCATTACCATCACTAACAACACGTTTTTGACATCTGCATACTCTAATCCCACAGATAGGAATACAATCCTACACTACAATAGTGCCCACCCCCAACACTTGAGAGACAATTTGCCGGTCTCTCAATTTTTGAGGGTCATGCGTATTTGCTCAGACCATAGTGTGCGTGCACAACAGATTGGACGCATGTATGATAAATTTAAAGAAAGGGGTATCCCATTGAGGTCATTGAGCAGGCACTTACTAAAGCCACAGAGAGATTTGAGGGGTCGAGTAAAGTCATCAAGCAGGAGAGGCCACCCTTTGTACAGACATTTACATCAGCGTCCCGGGCAATAAGTAGGGCGACTCAGATTAATTCTAATATCTTACAGGCCGACAATACCTTAACACCAGTTATTAAAAACAGGCCGTTGCATATCTATAAACGTAGTAATTCTCTCAAGGATCTCTTGGTCCAGGCGGACCCTAGACCCAAGTATGCCAAGAGACCATTTTCCTTCTCAAGCAGGTCAGGAAGTTACAGATGTCACTGCTGTAACATATGTAATTCCATGATATGTGGTGAATCGTTTTTTCATCCCCACAGTGGGAAAAAATATAGTATTCAAGGTTATCATACCTGTGATACCGATTTACTGTGTTTACCTATTGAAATGCCCGTGTGCATTAATATATGTAGGTAAGACAATTGGACCATTTAAAATAAGGTTCCAGAAACACAGAAGTGACATTCGTATAGCCATAGGGAAATTGTCTAAAGGAGAGGAGTTAAATCTCAACAAGCCTGTTGCGGTTCACTTTGCCACAGAGAAGCATCAAACACACAAACTCAAAGGCTGGGTGATAGAACAGGTGCATAGACATCCTAGAGGTGGCAATAGAGCCAAAATGCTTCTCCAAAGAGAGGCACATTGGATCTACACACTAGATGCAGTGTATCCCAAGGGCCTCAATGTGGGACTTACCTGTTTCTTGGAGGAGAGATAAAGGGTTTTGGCAAACAGTGCAGCGGTGAGCCTACTGCTTCCCTTGTTATTCAGAGGGACACGGAGACAAAGACAAAAACTCACAAATCCACAGTGGGCCGCATGAGTTACTCAGACGGCAGCTCTGGGATTATTTTTATTCTCACACACATTAATTATCGCTTTGGGTTTTCACTTATATGTCACTTATATTTGTTGCTCCATCCATAATTTTCCTGCCTAGTGGATTTTGCATACCCTGTACATAATGTTGTAATGCAATCATTTCATCTGTACATGGTAAACGTTTAAATCTCAATAACACACAGGGGGGCCCTCTTTATATTATGGACACGTGCAAACGGTGCATATGTGTTTGCATTATAGGTGCATTGTCGATTGATATACTATTGCATTTCTGCCATAAGGCTTTATTATTGCCTGTTTCTGTTATAGGGTTTCATTACTGCCTTTTTTCCCATTCGGCACCTCCCACAGTAATTATACACCTACAGTGGGGCAAAAAAGTATTTAGTCAGCCACCAATTGTGCAAGTTCTCTCACTTAAAAAGATGAGAGAGGTCTGTATTTGCCCCACTGTAACAGCCAGCGTTTGAGCTAATTTTTATGATCAAACTGACTGTATGAGTGGCTTACTATCACCCCAACTGATCCATACTGTGCAGTGGAACAGCTGTCAGATCAGCGAGCGGACGAGACGCCCCTGTACCCACAAGGTGCATGCGCCAGTGGGCGGGTCAAGCGGCCACGGCTCTGGATGTTAAGAGCCACTGTATAGCGTCATGTTGCTGAGGCAACCAGCACCACTTTGTTCCCGGTGCGCTCGCGGCCCTGACACTTGATACCGCTCTGCACTTGGTCTTACGATCTCTAACGCAAACTATGTATTTTGCTACTGGGTGAGTCACACTTATATGTGCTGTTGGGAGTCACTGATGGTTCAATAGATATGGCTGGTATTTATATCATTTTGCACACGTCCTTTTCAAATACTTAACGGCAGGTGTGATGTCATAACGAAGCCCTAGGTGGATGGGAGTGGTTTCACAGCACTCAGTTGACTGGTATGTCTAGGTATATATTTTTGTATGTCTTTCACTTCACTGTTATCTCTAAGCCTGATGAAGGGGACCCTGCGAGGCCCTGAAAGCGCTTGCAAATGAGATACAGCTATTGACAATAAAATATTTTGCTTTTTCAAAAAAAGCCAATGAGATACAGCTATTGGCAATAAAATATTTTGCCCTGTTAAACGCCCAGGTGTGAACCAGGCCTAAGATGGGATGAATAAGGGCTCTGCTTTGGATTCCCATGGCGGGTATATATTGGATGAAGCTCGAAACTTAACATGCAGAGGAAACCCAGATTATACGGGAGTAGGGAGCAAATCGGTGGTCTACATATGTGCAAACACAGGAATAGTGTGGCAACTGGGCAACCTTGTGTTTCAAAGAGTAATACCACACAAAACAAACATCACAACAGGGGAGGGAAATGGGGGGAGGGGGGAGAGCAAGAAGCAGATAGAAAAAGGGAGGAGAAGATGAGAAAAAGAAGAGGATCCGGGCTGTGTGCAGGGGCAGGGGGTCTACCGTATCGTAGAGGACTTAAGAGCTGAGTTAGATGGTACAAAGGTGGCAAGGAGTGGCTGAGGCAAAATATTTGCTGATCCAGGGGGACCAGATGGTCTCAAATTTATTAGTATTATGGAGTTGTAGTAATACTAAGGGACTTACTTAGCCAATTCTTTGCTATTTCTCTCTTTGCGGAAGTACACACATGCAGTGAAAGCTTAAACTCTTTGTTGGGGAGGCCTTCCGCCTTACAGGAGCGCAAAATACGGGTCTTTGGTCATTGGTTGAGGCTTGTGTTTTGATCCCAGAGGGGCATGCTGAGGATGTGCAAGAGGTAAAGTATAAGTGACCCAAAAGTGGTAGCAATGTGAATGAAGGGTGACGTGCTAATCGCCTAAGTGTGTTGAGGGAAAACTGAGCGACGTTAGAAAGGCAGCCATCTTCATCTGCTGCGTGCGTGTGCCCCATCTTTGAAGGATTTGCTTATCAGTTGCGGCAGGGGCATTTCTCTCTCCTTTGTGACATGCAGCTGTGGGATGGAGAATGCCCCTGCCACAACTTATTGGGCTGGGAGGTAGGGGTTTTGTCAGTAACAGTTTTGCACTGGCTTTGGCTAACTCAGATGAACTGGTTAGCCCCCACACATCCCTAATCATAAGACACATGGCTCGCATCCTCTTTTGATTGCTTCCAGCAGCCTACCCTGGGTTAAAACTGTTATATTAAATAACTCCCCCCCAAAACGGAAGAAAATAAGAAAAAAGTCCATTGTTTTACATTTTAATAGTTTTAAATCAAATGTATTTATTGGCTACCAAAATGTTCTTAATCGACAACTCAGTTTGCTGTTGAGTGTTGCTACAAGCTTGGCTTGTACTCTCACAGAAAATAGGTAATCAAGCTGTGTTTGCACCATTTTGCAATGTTATGCCTCAGGCACACTTCTTACTTTAATTTTCACTGTACAGATCTTTGAATTATGTGGACAAACATAAATAATGCTTTGCTGAAAAGTCGTCACTGTAAACCACATATTTATCTTTTTTTTTTTTTAGCACATACAAGCAGAAATTATGTCATTGGGTTTTTAAGAAGGATCCTTGTAAATTCGGTAAGAGGCACGGTGAATGAGGTGGCATCTCTCATCACTTCCATTGAGCCCAGAAATCATTCTCTGTCTGGTTCACATCGTAATGTTGCTGATATACTGCTCAGAGCTTTGCCGAAGAAATTGAGCTCCAGCAACTTGGATGGAAAAGAGGGAAAGCACAAAGGTAAGATGTTTATTTTGGTTAGAGAATCCTGTTTTCAGGCATACGAACTGTAAGTACATGACTGTGAACTAGGTGATCAGGTTTTTTTAGATGTTCATATGGTTACTGCAACCATTGGTGCCCTCTGACAAAGAGAATTTTGCGTAAGAGATCACTGGCTGTAACCAATGATATAACAGAAACAAATAACCAACCTATAGCTCATATACTGTATATTCCAGTAAGAGAGGGGAATAACTCTATTTTGTAGCTCAACTGCAGAATGAAATAACATTTAGGATTTGAACCCCCTTCCTCATCATAAAATACTGATAGTTTTCTCTAGGGGTTTCAGTTAGAAGCAAATATTTGCTCTGTACCTCACTCCCGTGCCAGCCAGCCTGCTCTTCTCCATTGCTATGTTGTTCAGCAGGGAGGAAGCCTGCTGAACAGTGGACTACACTCTCTTGAGGCCCCCTAGACCCAAAAAAGTAGTATATAGTGTATATAGGGAGAAGGTTAGGCACAAACATTACATTTTTTGTGTGTGCAGAAAGTCTCCTCTCAAGTGTATCTAAACCCAGGAACAAAGATGTAATACATTGCAGCTTACCCATTCTTAGAAGATGTTGTGGTTGCATTAGTTTTCTTTTTTGCAGGCTGATTTTCCTATAATTTCCTGGTGATCATGCTGGTAACATTCTTTTTGCCTTAGGGTGACAACAGTCCCTTACTGTACTGTATCTGTTGATCAGCAGCATTGCCACTCTAGGGCAAGAGGTGTATTAGAACTGCAGAATACCTCCGCTTCTCCATACTATAATGGAGAGCTGTTCTGTAATTCACAGAGAGAGCTGATACAGGAGCAGCAGAGGCAGAGAGCACAGAAATGTATCAGCTCATAAGCTTTTTAGGACGGTCAACAATTTTTTTTTGCACTTATCAAAGAGATATACCTTCACACTTTAATTTGTATAGTAAGAGAAGGGGGAGTAATTATAAGAAGTTGGTTCTGGCAACATCCAATGTTAATCTCATACAACTGCATACCTGTGTATTACAAAATGTCTGTTTTTAATTTTTTTTTACATTGTGCAAACCTCTGAATCATGGATGGCAGAATTTTAAAGTCAGTTTTAATACATAAATGATAAGAAGTAGCAAAAAAAAAATGAAAATTTTAAAATGTGTTGATGGCACATAAATAATGCAGTAGATGTGTAACTTACTGTATTTAAGGTGAACATTCTTTTACACAGGTTTTGAGGAACCTCTGTTAAAGTAAAATGCATGTGATGTTCTCAAATATATACATACAGTAAAATGGTCTGTGCTGAGTAGCAAAATAGGTATATCAAAATGTAATTGACTACAAACTGTTGGCTCATAGTATCTTACTGTAATGCTCTTTGGTCTTAATAATGGGCAGCTGCATGCAGGATCATGCTATTTGTTTTCCTTTTCTTTAGATTTCACAAGATTGACAGCTGAAGCGGTCTCTATTGTTATCAGCAAGCTACCTTCAGTAATTGCCTGCTTGCTTCCACCAATAAAGTATTTCTACTCTTTCTCTGAAAGAAAGATATCAGAACAGTGCTCTGCAGTAAAAAATATGGGAATACTTGTGTGGAACCTAATTGAAATTATATGCCATGTACTGAAAGATGGAAATTCCACAGAACAGCTGACAGATACCACCCTGTCTAGATGGAGCCAAGAGAGGCTTGCTGTAGTTTGCGGGTGCTTGGAAAAGATAGTCGAATTCAAGGCTGCTAATTCCAAGGATGAAATACAAAGAGTGCTTGAAGATCTAGAGAAACGGAAACCTAACTGGATCGAAAACCAGCTGCTGAAGGCCAAAACTCTAAGCTGTAAAGGGTAAGATTATAGTGTGTCCTAAGCATGTAAAGCTCACAAATGTACTATCCTTTATGGTTCAGTGGGATCAGCACAAAAGTCCCTTGTCAGACCACATCCAAAATACAGTTTTGGCCACCTACCTGTAAGAATTACATACAGTAGTAGAGCTTGAGGGGAGTCACAAAATATTACAAAAACTAGGTATGTTTATGGCTAAAGGAAATCTTTGATTTGAACAAAAAAACTTTTCTATATAGGGATGCACCGTTATGGATACCGGTATCGTTATGGGTGCCAATACTGGCCATTTTCATGAGTACTCGTACTCATGAAAATGCTCTGATACAAAGCTCCAATACTGGCGAGTCCACCTGAGTCCACCTGAGAGTCCACGCACAGCCCACCATAGACCATGCACAACCCACCATAGACACTGCACAAGCCCACCTGAATGTCCGCACAGCCCATCAAAGAACCTGCACAGCCCACCTGAGAATCCGCACAGCCCACCATAGACCCTGCTTAGTCACCTAAGAGTCCGTGCAGCCCACCATAAAACCTGAAAAGCCTGCCCGAGAGTCCGCACAGCCCACTATAGAACCTGCACAGCCCACCTGAAAGTCCACATAGCCACCTAAGAGTCCACACAGCCCATCATAGAGCCTACACAGCACACTATAGACCCCACATAGCTACCTGAGAGTCCACACAGCCCACCATAGACTCCCCATAGTCACCTGAGAGCCCACACAGACCACCATAGACCCTGCATAGCCACCTGAGAGTCCACACAGCCCATCATAGAACCTGGGCAGCCCCTTGAGACCCCACACAGCCCTCCTGAGACCCCACATAGCCACCTGAGATCCTCCGCTGGAGACATCAGGCCGGCACCCCAGTGCAGCACAGAGTACGTAGCGTCATATTATTCTGCATTGATGTATAATGCATTGCTGGGATTTGTAATCCTCTATAGCTGGTTGCCTGGTAGCTGGTTCGGCATTGCTGTATAATGTATTGCTGGCATTTTTAGTCCTCTCTAGCTGATGATATTATTCCTTATTGCTGTATAATGTATCGCTGAGATTTGTAGTCCTCTATAGCTGCTGTTATTCTGCATTGCTGTTTAGTGTACCACTGGGATTTGTAGATTTGTTTGTCCCTCTATAGCTTGGAATCAGTGGCAGAACTACCAGGGGTGCAGCGTTTGCAGCTGTGACTGGGCCCTAGCACTTCACCGCTGTCCTAAAATCAATTAGCCTGTATTGTTTTAGAAAAACTCTCACATGACACTAAAAAAAAGGTGTCAGTAATTGGTATAGATGAGTACTTGAGTAACAGTATTGGTACTTGTACTCGGTCTGGAAAAAATGAGACAACCAGAATCATGTTAGCAGAGCCACAATCACTGTCATAGTAAGACAACCAAAAACATTGCTGCAGATCCACAATCAGTATCATAGCGAGACAACCAGAATCATGTCCACAGAACCATAATCAGTATCATAGTGGGACAACCGGAAAACATGTCAGCAGAGCCACAATCTGTATTATTGTGAGACAGCCACAAATATTAGTGAAGAGCCAATTAGTGTCATTGTGAGACACCCAGAAATGTGTCTGCAGAGCTACAATCAGTATCATAGTGAGTCAACCAGAAACCTGTCTGCAGAGATAAAATCATTGTCGTAATGCAACAACCATGAACATGTCTGCAGATGCAAAGTCAGTACCTGAGTAATAGAAGCTGGAATGTGCCTGCAGAGATGTATCTGGCAGTAGCATAAACATAAAAAGTGCAGATGTAGTAACTTCAGGGTCCGTTCTCTCCAGTGTGTTTTAGGTGCAGTGTGGTAAAAAAAAAACTGTAATACACATAAAACTCACTGCTACTAAACTGAAAAGGTGTTGTGATATTAAAATATAGAAGTGGGTTGATTATAGATATTTTATAATTGTATTGGTCAGTAGTAGACACTGCTGTGTGCGTGTTGGTTAACGGTTGTTACCTGTGTCTGGATTGGGGAAGTTTGAGTTGTCATGACAATTTTTTAGGAGACAACACTGGCATGTTTGGTGTTATTTCCGAGGAGAGGGAGAAAAATGCATAGGTGAGAATTTGCCCCTTGAGTTTATGTTCATTATTTATGCAGATTCTGCCATAAGCTGGATTGATTTCTGTAGGATACAAGTATTACGCACACAAGCAGATGTATTATTAGTTCGAAGGAAAGACACTATTCTGTTATACAGTGCTGCAATAATCAAGCAAGCTCATTACATAGATCATTCTAAAAATTCTGCTTCTGAGATTGTTGGTTGAGATTCCATTGCCTACTTGAATGGGATCAGAGTTTTAGAGATTTAGAGTTTTAGTCGGTCATTAGCAGTTTTGATATTTAATAAATAACCAAAATATTGGCTGAACTCAAACTTCTATTACAATATACATGTTGTGATCAGAAGATTGCCAATGTCTATACCATTTGACCGGGACCCATTTTGAAATATTTGGTTCTCAGCACTGGAACTATTCAGGTCCATTCACCCGATAGTTTCAGATTAGAAACTATGCCGCTCTGCTAACCAATGCAAGATTTCTGACATTTCTTCCCTTGTCAATTGTTTGTTTTTTGCCACAACCCCCCAGCACACAGACACAGAAGTCATATGCAGTGTTGTATAGAAATATCATGAATGTGAGGAATCAGATACAGACAAAATGGATTAAACGGATTAAACATTTGTTTTGAAAACAAGAAGTAGACTAATAATGTGACAAAACCCATATAAAATAACTTCTCAGTAAATGATTATAATTTAGTGTGAGACAACCAAAAATATGTCCGTAGAGGCACAATCACTGTCATAGTAAGACAATAGTGTGAGACAACCAAAAACTACTGTGTGCATGTTGTTTAACGGTTGTTACCTGTGTCTGGATTGGGGAACTTTGGGTTCTCATAACAATTTTTAGTAGACTACACTGGCATGTTGGTTGATTTCTGGGGACAATCGACAAACAGCTATAACACAAATATTGATAGGCCTCCCTCATCCCTGTAACCTCTGCACCCCCATTCACATGACATTTTCTGGTGGCATCAGGACAGTTGGACAATTATGGTGGATGGCTGAACCCCTTTACCTGTGTAGTAAAGGCTGAAGGCTTGTTAGAAGTGACTAGCCTACAAAAGCTCACTCGTTGCATCATCAAAAGGTGATTATTGTGGATACCAGCATTATAGCCAGTCTCCGAGTTTTGAGAACTAAGGATAGCCTAACTTATCCAGGACTGAGGAGCTGTGAGAACATGATCCCAAGGAAATCCATGGTTGTCACAGGGGTTTAAGTATCCATCCCTTCAGTGTCTATGGCTTGCACTTCTTTGAATCTGAAAGCAAAGGAAGAGAAGGGGCATACCAGATCCCACTAATGTATTGCTGAATACTGACCTGGACTGCTTAGACTGCCAATTGGTGCCTAGTACATGGGAGCCAAAGCGTTAGGTCCTTAAAGTTTCTGTCTCAGAGTTTGGGCTGCGACGGGGGAAAAATTAGCCTTTTCCTGTGTCTGACCCTGAAGGAACTTTGGATGAGCAGAGGACAAGAGACTGTTTTCCTGAATTGTGTGAACTCTCCAAGGTACTGTACCCTGGTGTTTTGACAGCCTCTGAGAGTGTTGGGGGTGGGCAGGGAAAGGAGTGTTTGTTTCATTGTGCCAGGTCCTGATGGTACTCTAGATGGCCAAAAGACAAAGGAGTGTTTGCACTAATGTTTCTCTTGATCTACAGCCTGAGAATACAGCTGATTGTATGCCTCAGGTTGTAGACAAATTGCATTATAAATGTATTGAACCTTCAGCAGGAAAGAAATGTGTTTTACACAACTTTTGGGGGAAAAGGTTGGGGTTCTCTAGCAATTTGTGAAGAAAAGGATTGTGTTTCTGTAGGACACAGTGAAAAAATACAGTGTATGCCTGTGTATGAGTGTGTGAAATGGGTCAGATGCCAGTGCCACCAAACAAGCTCTAGGTCACATGGGAGTGGTCCTTAACCAGTCTCAAACACCTTAGCACTGTAAATGATAAAGTGCCCCCAGATGAACAGCACATAATGACAAATTTGCCTATATCCTTCCAGTATGTCGTTTGTGGCCAGCAGATAATGAGGATCCACAGGGTAATCTGCTGACCAATCCAGACCCATTGGCATCTATCAGAGAGTTGCTCATTGGCCATCTCCTATCTACGTTGGTAATGTCATGATAACATTTGTGTCAGTTATTTATATTGCTGTCTGTGACCTAAAGAGATTTCCCCTTTCCTGTCTGGCTGCACATGGCATTTTTAAAAATAATTATTCTGTATGTGTACGCCTGTTGCAGGCATGGAGATTCACCAGTAAATGTTTTATGTACAGAAATGAATGCAGGTTTTCCTCAGATTGTATTTGGGGTAAGATTATGCAACCTTGAATTATGCAAAACTATTTTTGATGTCACACACAGGCTAAATGGAAAGCATGGAGTCCTCTTATAGTGACAGTTCCTTTACTGCAGAAAATAGGCATCTGATTGTCAGTGAGATTTGGCAGCAGAAGGGTAAACAGAACTGAGGCTATTTCTCACAGCAAAGCAGATGCTCACAGGAACCGTCTTTGAACACAGTCCTAACATAAGTTCACTTACAGGGCAGCTGGCACGGTCGCAGACAAGGGAGTGAATGAAAAACGTAACTCTTGCATACTCTCTGTCTGTTATTCAGATGCCACTTTACTTAGCACACTCACTCATGGCAAAGTTACTTTTCACCATCAGTTCACAGAAACCCTCCCAGCATTTTGTGGTTAGTGATGGGCGGTTCTAACTAGAACATTAGAACATGGAAAAAGTTCTTACAAGATCTTAGAACTCAATGAAAGTCTTTGGGACCAGAACTCCTAAAACCAAATGTCCCCATTTTGAAGGCTTATATGCAAATTGTTGGCCATAAAAATGGTATGGGGATTCAGGTATTGG